AATGAAAGCGCATGATCTAAAACCTACGCACAACTATTTTTTAAGGGTTTGGAAGCGTGCAAAACCAAAAGTCTGAACGGAAAAAGCTGTTTCATACATACTATCAGGTAGAATCGTATACAATTCTGCTGTACCATTCATTCCATACACGAAAACCGTTCGCACAAAATTCAATTCACGTTTTCTAGAATGCTCATGAGCGTTCACGTGCAAAGACAACGCTGAAGAAGGAACACTGAACGTTTCAACTACTGCAGGGTATTAAAGATCAGAAACTCACGTCCTCAATAGTCCTAATTATAGCCCCTAGGCTGCAAACGTTTTAAAGTCAAGTACTTGTCTTAGTGATGTGAGTTTCAGCTCTTCAATACGTTGCAGTAGCTGGCTACATTCAAAATACTAAAAAGTCATATTTCGCTAAAGTAACTATGGTTTGGTCGTGTCATATCTGCAATGGCTCTTAAGTGGAAGGAACGTAAACTTTGAAAAAAGTCGAAGCTTCTTGAACGTCAACTTTTTTGACGTGATCTGTACGAGTTTTCCAGTAGGTTTTCTGGTAAAACTTTAGTTGTTGAATCGAAAGAATTAAATTTTAGTACAGAAACACCTTTTCTGGTTCAAAGCGATATGCAAACACAGAATTTTCGTAACTCCTGTCGAGTCAAAAACGTTGACGTGCAAGGAACTTCAACTTTTTTCAAAGCCGACGGACATTCAGGGATCTTCAACGTCAAAAGCGTTCACGTTAAAGTTCAAATTTTTACTAAAAACACGTGAACGCTTACATCTAGCCAGCTCATTCCCTGTTCCACGGCATAGTTAAACAGTATTTTTGTTAGTAGAGCATATGAGAAACAAAACCGTCATCTCAGAGCGCCCCGCTTGTACTGCGTTTTTGTGAAAATGCTAATGTAAAAGTGGCAAAATCGGTTGAGTATTTTGCATCTGTAGCACATTTTATGTGACTTTAACCATTTAGATTTTTCGGATTAGTAATGAGCATCGAAAAATGGATCAAATGTGGTAAATAACTGGTTATTTACCGCATCTGATCCATTTTTTGATGGATACATTACAGACGTTAACAAAAATAATACATTCGAACGTCTTCAGTTCATATGGGTAACTCGAAAACGCGTTGAAAAATCTCAAGCCTTCGGCAGGCTTAAAATGTGTCAAAAGAAAGTTTCTAAGCCCTTAAATGGAAACATAGATTATATGACTATGAGGGTGTACTCTACTCTAACTACTCAATATGATTTTCTACTTAAGAGTATTAAAAACTATTCTTCTTCGAAAAGCTTCTAGAAAGTCTTTTTGAAACTAAAGTATTTTTTGTTAATTCTTAAAAGTTCTGTGAATTCCGTGATATAGTACAGATCAGAGGCGGGCGATGGATGAGGATCCCCGCGATTCTTCACGGGACAGCCCCGTGAGGAAGATTTTTTGAAAGTCTGACGAGGTACGGGGTGATGACGAGGCAGGAAGTTTGTGAGGCGATCTCCGAGAGAGCGCAAAAGATAATCTATTGTCCACCTCTGGTGAAGGTAAAACGGAGTACATATTCAATATTTCTATTAGAAGTTTTTGACGTATAAGTCGCTTTTCAAAAGATCATCCGAAAAACATTCAGAAATCCACTCTCGTCTATCCACTCTCGACAGGCAAAAGTCGAAGATCTCCATCTCATTTCTACCAAACGTGATGCAAAAAATTAGTCCTGTGCGCTGTCTTTTTAAACAGAAAAACACCATGGGTACTATCTAGAACCATAATTAGAAACTTGAGATTGGATAATTTGAGTTTCGAGTTAGATACTTAAAAAATAGCTGAGTTACACATACTATCCGTATCGGTATGTAGAAATTATTGTAAGAAAAAATATTTGTTAAATTATAAAGAAAACGATTAAAATAATTTTATAAGCATGTGTTTTCTTTTAATTAAAGTGTAACTTCCAAGCCAACACTCTTCAGGCATCCAATCAAATTGGCACTTACACAGCCAATTTGTAAAGCATTTTTTATCGGTTATTCCAGTGACTTCGCATTTTTCTGCAGCGTAATGCATAAAATTAGACATGAGCGATAGATGATAAGAATCTTTTATCCCTAGTAATTGTAGATAAGTTTTCTGTTGTCTTTCGATATATTGAACTAGTGGTATATGTTGAGTACAAGCAATTAATTGATAAGCACAGAACGACATCATTGGATCAAAATTTAGTAAATATTCAGCTTCTTCATAGACATAAATCATAAAACCTGCTCGTTTTCTATTTGTTTTTAATAGACTACAACCATTTAAATTTTTCAATTGTTTTGTTGGTTGCAATAAAACAGTGAGAAGAAACATTTTATAATTTAAAGAATTTAATGTTTTACAAATAAATTTTGGACCAAATTGTGTATATTTGCATATTTTTGAGCAATGATATTCGTGCATATTTATTGACCATAATATGCAATTATAAAAAATTTTTTAAAAATTTTTAAAAAAAATTTTTTAAAAATCCACATGACCATACACTTGAAATAATTCCACTTAATTCAGATAGAGATAATTGATTTTTATCAATTTCAATTTCTTGTTTTAATAATTTTAAAATCAAATCAATTGTTATATTATTATCTAGTTTTAGTTGTTTTCGTGCATTCATAAAAGCTAATGACAAATAATATTTATGATCTATTTGTACTGGTATTTTAAGTTGAGATTGAAGTTGATATAGAAGTGAAGAATGACATTTACGAAATGAATAGTTTAATTGTTCATTTTTAAGTAGATCGTAAATAATACAGATGAAAAAAATATATTTAAAATATAATGATAATTTATAATGATATTTCGAACTAGTGTATAAATCAATTAAATTCGTATCAAACACAATAAGTAAATAATACGTTTTTTCAATAAAACTCAAAAGTATAAAATCAATATTGTCGTATAATTGTGTTAGTATCTTATAATAAGATTCTATTTCGTCGTCTGTGCGCTCGATCAAAACATTATATGCTGATATAAAATAATGTGGAATAGATTTGTTTTCATAAAAGTTCATTGTAAATTTTAGTAAATCTAATATCAATTGTTTTTTTGTCAAACATAATTGTTCATCTTGGAATGGTTGTTGTTGTTCACAATACCACAAAAAGATTGTTTTTAATTGATAGGATTTTAAACTTTTTATATTATTAATACGACATATATATTTAATTAATAATTTTAATATTGAATATATTTGTTTTTTATTGTTATCAATAGTATTTATTAATGTTACTTCAGCGATAGAAAATGATAAACGCCATTGTATTTCATTAATACCTGTTGGTACAATATGACAACCATTATTTTTAATTAACAATTTTATTTCATTTGTTGGCCATCCATATGGTGTTGATCGTTGCAACCACTGTTCAGCAGCAGTCGGCCAATATTTATATTCTAATGCAAATACACGATCGGAATTTGTATAGATTTGTCCACTAATACAACCGGCCAATTTTGTTCCATTAAAGGAACAATTTTGAAGGACCGATTTTTGTATCTAATATATAATCTATATTTTGTTTTTCCGTTGCAGTTAATGTAACACTTGGACGATACATATTCATTTGATTTAACATAAAATCAATATTTTTTATTGGTATTTTTTCTTCTTGTTGTTTATCAAATAGAGTAACAAAACCATCAATAGAATTTTTTAATATTAAAATTTTTTTATTTATTTCAATTTTTTGTTCATTTTCTAATTTTTCTTCATCAATAACAATATAATTTGTATCAATAATTAAATGATCTGAATCAATATTCAATGTAATTTGATCATTCTCATCCGATATCGTCAATGGTAAATATAAATTTTCTTCATAACTTCCACAATTAATAATTTTAAGATTTTTATATGTTGAAAGTGATAATTTTAAATTAAATATATTTTGATTTAAGTCTGATAAATCATATTGACTAATATTAGAATAAAAATTCAATATCTCAAGCAATTGATCAAAAAACGTCATTTTGCTTAATACTTTTCAAGAACATAATCAAAATAAATTCTAAAAAAATTGCTGAAAGAAAGAAAAGAATTGTTATTCTTTTTTTAGTAATATAACAGAAACATATAGTCCACTACATGTTTGTTTTACTGTGCAATTAGTAAAAAAAATGAACATAGCAACAAAAAATAAAAAAATATATCATTATTTTTATGACACTTTTCTTACGAAAGAAAAAAGAAAAAAATTCGTAAACAGAACAATACAGAAGTTGTCATACGTTTTAATGCTATACAGTGTAACTGAACTTACAGAAAAGAACAGTTTAAGCATATATTTTTTGAGAAACACATGCGAACAAAAGATTGCAGGGATCAGATTTCCTCGGAAATAAAACCCATACCCTCATCTATCCTCTTCTAGATAAGAGGAGATAAGAGTGATAGAGTAGATGCGTGGAGGTAACACTAATGGGTTTAGAACTATTTTTCAAAAGTTAAAATATAAGAAAATTTCTAAAAAATTGATTCGGTTATAAGTCGGCTGCGAGTTTACAACTCGATTGGAGATTTTAACTATTTCAATTTCATTTATAACTACAAACCCGAGTTCAAATTCTGTAAGTTCATTCCAGTTTGTAGTGTGTTATTGTCGAATGTCGATATACTAACTACGAGTTGATTAAATTCAAAGAAATTTCTTATTAATAAACAACAAAAAATGACGTCGAATACCGAAGAGCATATGCAAAAACAAGTTTTACGTATGTGCAAACATATGCGCACAAGATGGTAGAGTTTTGCTGAGACAAACACTTTTGTAAGTGTTTTTGCATATGCTCT